AATGGGCCAACAAAATTAGGCCAGAATACCAATTAAAGCATTTGCAAGCTATAACAAATGGTCAATTATTGTCGATTTTTATCATTTGCAGGTTTTCTCATTGGTATTTTTGGCCAAATCTTAGCCGAAACAATCGGCAGATAAAAAATTCCCAGTGAGAACGCATCATTAAAAAAATAAAACATTTTGTCTCAAAAAATTTATTGAAAATAAGAATACATATTTGTTACAATTAATGAAAATAGACTAATTTTTTCTAAAGAAATCCAAAATTTTTAGCTGCTTTTTAGAATTTAACGTCTCGGTAATGACAAACGATTCTAAGATGTTCAGTGAACTAAAAATAGAGTGACTTACATCATTTTTACTTTCAAAGTACCGTTTAAGTTGCGTAATATGGTGTGTTGCTTCGGCCGCACTCGGAACATGTATTTCTCCCGCAACTGATGATGCGTCGTCTTCATCACTCTCTTGTTTTTCATCATTGTCCTTAAGCACTTCAGCGATGATCTCTGTATCGGTTATTTCACCACATACTGCAACATCTTCATCCACGTTGACAAAATCTTCATAAGAGATGGCAGGATCAGAAATGATGTCCCCCAGCAGTCAACTGAAAGCAGCTCTTCTGTTAAATTGTCGTCTGTGTTCTCCTCCTTTTTTATGAAACCAGCTCTTTTGAAACAGTGTTTGATCGTTTCGGGTGTTACTTGGTCCCAAGCTTTCTTACACATTCGAGATGCTTGTAGAATGTCTAACTTTATTTTAAGGGTGTCGCAATCTTCCATCAATATGTTTTCAACCAAAAAACGTCTGTAAAAATGTTTAAAATTTTTATGACACCCTGGTCCATAGGCTGGAGAACTGAAGTCATGTTAGCAGGAAAAAAAATAACTTTTACATTTTCCATCAGTGGGATAGTGGTGTGTGCCGTACAATTGTCAATAAACAAAATAACTTTTCTTTTTTCTTTTATGAACTTTTTGTCTAATTTTTTCAGCCAGTTCTCGAAAAGATCACTAGTCATCCAAGCTCTTGCGCTGCTCACATATTCCACTGGTTTTGACTTGACGTTCTTAAAACAACGCGGATTAGCCGACTTGCCAATCATCAGTAGAGGCAGTCTTTCTGATCCGTCCATGTTTGCACCAATTAGGAGAGTTACTCTTTCTTTACTTAGTTTTCCTCCGTGACATTTTTCATTTTTAAATGCTAGCGTTTTGTCAGGAGTGCATTTAAAAAAGAGACCCGTCTCGTCAACATTAAAGATATCTCTTTCATCTATACCCTGAATCATCTCTTCCAATTTTTTTTCCACTGGTTGGCTTCTTGCTGATTAATGGTCCCACTTTCTCCACAAATGGATTTGAAAGAAATTTTGTTGCGTTCTTTAAAGCCGTCGAGCCACCCTGTACTCGCCTTAAAATTGTTTTTCCCCATTTCAATAGCAAATTGTTCAGCTTTGCTTCTTATAAGGGGACCACTCACGGGAATCTTCTTATCCCTAGCTTGTTTGAACCATTTTAACACACAACTGTCTAAATTTGGATTTTCTGGCTCCCTTAACCTTTTTCGATCTTTACCGCACTCACTTTCACTGTTGAGAATTTTTTCTTTATTCTTCAAGTAGGTGGATAATGTGTTAGGAGGAATTCCAAAGTCCCTGGCAATCTCAGATTTTTTCTTCGTCCCCTTTTCTACTTCTCTAATCGCCGCTATTTTTTCCGATAACGTTAAAGTTTTGTATGTTTTCGTATTACCATGCGACGACATCTTTACTCAATACGAAGTGACTTGACGTGATTTGCGGTGATTGCAATTGCAACGCCAACGCATCTCAACTGAAGGGGCGTGCCAGATGGGCTAGAATTGAGGTGACAGGTACGGGTACAATGTACAATGGCCTTGAAACAAGTGGCACGTTAGAACAGAAAAGAATACTACCTCTTTTAGCGGAAATTTCCAGCATGAAATTGGCATTTTTAACTTGTAGAAAAGTTCGAATTATCCAAAATATAATTCGAATTATCCACGACTTTTTAACATTACTTATATAGGAAATGCTAGGGACCAGAATAAAAATTCGAATTAAAGAAGATTTCGAATTAACGAAGTTCGAATTAAGCAGGTTCTACTGTATATATATATATATATATATATATATATATATATATATATATATATATATATATATATATATATATATATATATATATTTAATGTGATTATTTCGACCAATTTATAAGTGTGTTGGAAATATCGGGTATGTGGTCTATATTAAATAAAAATCTTTGTTTTTTCTAAAGCTCAATATTTCGCCATTTATTTAATAGCTTCATCGGGGTAAAAAAATTAAAAGATTTCACACATAAATAAAATTGACATTAAAGTAACATTATTGCTGATGTATAATGTACATCCAATAAAATGCATGTTAAAATATAAATATCTTTGAGCACGTTCGTTAACAATAAATAAGATGGAAACAAACAACACTTGTTTCCATCTTTCAAAATCATTTCAAAAAATGTTAAGCATTTTTGGCAATGACTTTTAAGTATCAAATTTATACTACATCTATTAGCCAACGGACTTTTTTAACTGTTTTGCAAATTACGAAGCATAGAGTGGCCGGAGTTTTTCAGCGCTTCAAAAGTCGCGGAGCTGACGTGCCGATTGAAACTAGAGGCGGTTTTAGAAAATATCACATTTACTTTGATAAGCGACAGGCTGTTAAAACTTTCATAAAGCGGCTGAATCCTGTGGAATCTCATTATACGAGATGTAATAGTTGCCGGGTCTACCTTCCAAGTGAATTGAATATTGCTAAATTGTCTGTATTGTACAATGCGTCAGTAGGTAGAACGGACGGAATAATACGGAAGAACTGAAAGTACAGGATTCCTATTTCCGGCTCATTTTTAACACTTTATTTAATATTAGTTTTGGAACCCCAGCCACTGACGAATGCAGTTTTTGTTTGGAAATGGGAGAACGCTTGAAGGTTAAGAAAAATACTTAACTTAGCAAGGAGTTATTGACCAAAAAGCTTACACATAAAAGAAAGGCCACGTATTTTTTGAAAAACTTGAGGATAAACCTGACAATTGTTTACTTTTATCGTTTGATTGCTAAAAGTTAGCGATCAGGCTGCATACAATCCGCCAACTCTATTGCTATAATATGTCCGTTATTTATGGTACTTCGCGTGCAAAGCTGAATCCTCATCCTCATGGATCCTCAAAGCGCAATCCTCAATTCTGTTTACACATGGACAGAAGGTGAAGGACAGAAAGTCATCAAATGAAGTTGCCTCAATTTTGTGCACTGAACTAACCAGCCGCATTGAAGAATCAGGTTCAAGCTTCAACGAAGTAAGGTTAATTGCAGATGGTTATCCTGGACAAAATAAAAATATAAACATAATCGCCATGTATTGCTGGTGGCTGCATCACTCCAAGTTAGTAAAAAAACTGAGTTGGTGTTTCCTGTGACAGGTCTTTCATATATGCCAGCGGACCGCGTCTTCGGGATGATAGAACGAGATTTGAAGGCAAAGAAGAGAATCCTAACAGTGAAAGAATATCACTACGTATTCAAAAAGTATGGTAAAGTGAAAAAGCTTGGGAGATTGGGTATCTCGAAACTGGAGGGAAATGGCAAAAACCTACGTGAAAAATGTAGGACAGCTTCATTTCAAACTTAAATCTTCAAAGCGCTTCTTGCTTTGCAAAACCACTAAGAATAATGTAGTTGTGGGAGGTGAAGTAGCCTACAACACAGATTTGGGTGAAAAAAAGACTATAGAAAAAAAAGGAAAAAATTATGTAAAAAGTGCCAGTCCCAAGCATATTCATATTGGTGTCGCAGTGAAACCAGAAAAGCTGAACGATGTAAAAAAAATCTATTGGAAAATTTTGGGCAAGAATGGCGCGAAGTTTCCAGTTTATCTTGGTATTCCAAGATATTTGACACCCAAGGACGTCATAAACACCTGAATGTTGACGCTGAGAATTGCGAATGTCATGGTATGAACGAAGAAGAAGACTTTTTGATGGAGAAAATTAATTTCTGATAATTAAAAATTTCCTGTATATTAAATAAAATAAAAATTTGTATCAAAAACGGCTGTTTTCATTTAAGATAGGTACAAAAGCGACTCATAACCATTCTTAGAATCAAAACCGGCTCAATGTCAACTTTAAAGATTACTATAGGCTAAACCCTTCAGGGGAATTTAATTAAATTTTCTTAAAATGTGTCTGTATAACTTAAGAGTAAACTAGTTACATTTGGGGTAAAATGTACCAAAGAATAAAAATCGATAGAAAATGAAGTCTTTTCGATAGATACACAGCCGAATCGTTATAACTGGCAACTTAGTGTACAGTACTGTGAGATAAGTAGCGGCATCCCTTGCCCGGGTCATGCATAATACTCTCCCTAAATTTATAGTTATTACTCTTTTGGTATATGTTATGGTATTTATTCTACTGGTTTAATAATAGAAACAAAAATGCTATTTTGGTATTAAATTTTCATTTTTACTACAAACAGTAGTAAACTCAAACTGTTCACCTACTACAAACAGTAGTAGGTGAACAGTAACAAGGCGACTCTAGATGGTCAATATTGTTGTAAATATAGTTAAGATACTTCATAAAAAAAAGTTGTAGTAAGCTTTAAAGTTCGTATTTTAAAATTAGTTACACCGTTAATTATATGGCATTTTATAACGCCATACTGATTAAAGTTACATTTTTAAATGAAATAGTGTATTTTAGTTTAAATTAAGGAGCCAATGCGGCAAAACTGACTAGAATGTAGTCCGCATCCTCACTTTTAGTGCTTCACGTGTAAGATTTTTATTCATTACCTGTTGAGTGATTATTCTACAATATATTGCTGATAATATTGACTATCTAGGAACCTTTTTATCGTGCCTGATCGGCGTAGATAAAATAATTATCAGATAATTAAGAATTTTTTTTGTTGCCTAGGTATACGATGAGAAATGGAAACATTTTAAATTTGGCCTTGAAAAATATTTCTGATGTTCCCGAAGAATGTTTTATGGAAGCGAAAGAAGCCAATGTTAGTAATGTTGATTTGTGTAAAAATAAATTTGTAGACATTCCACAAGGGTAAGTTCGCTTAATGTTACTTCGAAAACGGATAGTTTTTATCTCTACCCGAATGATCTATATGTGAATGAGATTCGATTATCTGGTTTATCTCACTTATGCGTATTATTATTTGTTTATTCACTCATGGTTTATCTTGTTACCAAATCTTTACTAATTATGGAATTGGCGGTTACTGTACCAAGGATCTGCGATATTCGATAGGCCAAAACCACCAAAAAACATGTTGTATGGTTAAGTAGGAGGAATAGGAGTATCCATACCCTCGAATTGATATCAAATTTTGATCTTTCTGTGCTTATTGTAGTTGATTACAGATGATGTCTCTGACCTGCTGTTAACTTGTTAGTGTTTGTTTATTCTTACTGGTAATTTCTTCTTTCAGTATTGTTAATAAGATCTTGCTGCATTCTATTGATGTGTTTACTATACAATTTGCTTAATTTAGTAGAATGAAGGTTGCTTCCTTGATTTTCCTCTTCTTACTATCTGTTCTTTTTCATATCTGAGATGTATCAAAGTATCAGTTCGTAATATAAGATTCACGGTCAATTCTCCTAAAACTTGGTGACCTTTAGTTGTTAAAAATGTTGTTGTAATGGAAGTCTTTTACATATAGTATTGTTTTTCTTTTCAATTTCCATCTTGTGAGTGGTTTAGGATATTTTTGATGTTTTGTTGTGTCCTTTCTTCGATCTTGTGGAATTCCTCATTTATAAATGATAATAGATATTGATTTTTTATTAAAATCGATATTAAGAGTTTTTCTTTCAAAAGGTGATTTGATGATTCCCTTTTTAATATTTATGTTGTGATTTGAATAATATTTAAATATAATATATTTGTGTGAGTAGGACTTTAGTTACATATCCTTTATCCCTCTTTGTGATTAATACATCCAGAAACTAGTGTAGTGAGTTGTTGTTTTCCTTATTCGTGGTTAATTGGATCGATTCCTCTTTTCTGTTGATCTATCAAAATTTCCATTACAGTTAATTGCAGTTTAATTCCATCCAAAAAAAAATCCTAATTATTCCCCACATCCCAATATGTTTTAAGTAGCTGACAAATGATTATTGAACCGTTTGCTGTATTTATATATCGGTATTTGACTATTTTAGGTTAAAATTACTAGCAAACACTTTAACCGAACTCAACATGTCCTGTAATCGGATAAACCACGTACCTGAATTCCTTATGGATCTTACCAAATTGAAATTCTGCGATTTGAGTAAAAACCAATTGGAGGATTTGCCAGATTCTTTATCTAGTCTTGTATATATAAGAGAATTAATTTTAAGTAACAATAGGTAAGTTATTATAATATAATTATGTATACTAACCTCGTAGAAGTATCTAACGCAGCACTTAAATTGCAGCATGTAAATGGATTTAACTAAATTATAATCAGCATAACAGAGGAAACAGAATAATTTGCTCTCAAATGTGGTGGTATCGCATAGTATTGTAGCGTGATTAAATAAAACGAGCGGTTCGAATTTATATAAATATATTTATTTATAACTTTACAGTTCGGTATTCTCTTATCAACTAAACTAACTCCTAAGATCGTTACATATATATACCAAAGTTACTATTTTCTAGAAAGTTCCCACCTCTAGGCGTATACGTGACCGATCGTTCTCTTGCCTTCGAGGGATCTATTCATCGATGATTCTCGATGCCGAGATGCTTCGAGATGCAACCGTTAGACGGGCCGCGCTGAATGCATTTTCGTAACACTGCTCCCCTCTTAGATCTGAGCGTCCCGATCAGCAACTCTATATGTAGGCCCAGGATGGCGGAATCTACAGGACTCTCCAGCTCTGCATGCACCCCTCAGAAAGAAATAACAGTCTACTGTCTTTGAAGGACACGATCTCTTCGGATTAGTACAACACACATTAATTCTTACGCCGGTTTCTCGGAAGATCACTTCAAGCATGCTTCTGACAATCTTCCAATCCAGATTATCTAGTGCATGGCCTATCTTGGGTAAGGCCAAATTCTTAATGTCGTAATTGCAGACGATTTTCTTCAAATTAGTTAGAGCACACCATATATCCTCGTAGGTTGCCCTGTCTGTATACGACTTCCTGGTCACCATATACAGCAAAGATCGAGAACCATCTTCTAATCTCAGCACTCTTCCAACTTTAGGCTGCTGGTTTTTTAACTCGTCCAAGCGACCAAATTTTTTATAAAATACGGATGAGATTCCTTTAGTCATCTCAAGATCTTGGGCAACACAGTGGGCTAGAGAGACGTTATGCGGAACACTAAAAAGATCCTGCTGAACTTCTGTCGTCACGCCGAATCTAGCATTCTTTCTCTCTGCGTAATTTGACATAAACTCCTTAAAGCTTGGTCGCCGTTTATCTTTGATCTCATGTTGAAGGGTTCGGACTTCTTCGGTTTCATTTGAGCCAGCATAAGGGGCAAGACGATTTATGTGAACTACTTTTGGTTTACCTTTCGGCAACTTCTTAATTCGGTATATTACGTCATTTATTCTCTTTTTAATTTCATACGGACCCTCCCATTGTCTTTGCAGTTTAGGAGACAAGCCACGACGACGTTGTGGATTATAAAGCCAAACAAGATCACCTACTTCATAGCTTTCATTCTTGCATCGAGAATCGTATTGATCTTTCATTCTGTCACTGGCTAACTGGATGTGTTGTCGGGCAAGTTCATGAATGCTGTTCATTCTTAACTTCAGACGATCGACATAATCTTCGCTTGCAACATGTTCTTCGGAAGGTCTGCAGCCAAACTCTAGGTCGCAGGGCAAACGAACTTCACGACCTAACATCAGGCAGGTTGGAGTCTGGCCTGTAGTTTCATTCACGGCCGAGCGGTATGCCATTAAGAATAAATGAATGTGCTGATCCCAATCTCTTTGATGTTTTGATACAACTTTGGACAGGTGTTTACCCATCGTTCGGTTCATCCTCTCGACCATTCCATCTGATTGAGGATGCAGGGGTGTCGTTCTGGTCTTATTGACACCAATCAATTTACAAACGTTTTGGAAAAGGTTTGACTCGAAGTTTCGCCCTTGGTCGGAGTGGATCTCCAAGGGAACACCAAATCGGCTAAAGAATTCTTTAACAAGTACCTCTGCAACGGTAGCAGCTTCTTGATTTGGTATCGCATAGGCCTCAGTCCATTTCGTAAAATAATCCATGGCTACCAGGATATATTTATTTCCATCATTCGTCTCTGGAAGTGGACCTGCAATGTCGATTGCTACTCTCTCCATAGGACTACCAACATTGTACTGTTTCATGGGTGCCCTCTTTTTACCAACTGGACCATTACTAGTTGCACACAGTTCACATTTCCGGCACCATCTTCTTACATCATCTTTACAGTTCACCCAATAGAACCGTTCTCGAACCTTTTGCAGAGTCTTCGTAATACCAAAGTGTCCACCTGATGCACCGTCATGCAACTGACGCAATACTTCTGACACTTTACTTTTAGGTACAATCAACTGAAGCTTAGTTTCTGTACCATCATCGTTCTCAAAGGTTCTATACAGAAGATCATCTTTCAGCACTAGGCAATTCCATTGGCTCCAGTAACACTTGACTTCGGGACTACATGCACTAATGTCTTGCCAAGAAGGTCTTTCACTTCGACGCACCCAATCCAATACTCTTTTTATACATGGATCATCTGCTTGGGCGTCTTGTAGCTGTTGAGGCTGCCATTGGTCATTAATAACGGTGGTTCGCCTAACGGGGCAAAATCGTTCTTCTAATTCAAGACAATGATTACGATTTGCACTGTATGGCCGTCTTGATTGAACATCAGCATTTGAATGACTTTTTCCAGCCCAGTGCTCGATCTGTTCTAGCTTTCTGACTGTTGTATTATTTTCTTGCACTTTGTGGCGAATGTGACCTTCGTTGTTACCATTCCAACATCTGGGTTCACGTTTCTTCGGCATCATGTTACGAACTACTTTCCGTACGATTTCTTCCAGACGTTTATCGTTTCGTTCGTCACTTCTTCAGAGGTTCGTACTTGATAGCTCCGTGAAACTCGACTAGCTATCTCATGTTCCAAGGCAATAGCGAGCGCTTCATCTAAAACTTTCGGTCTTGCTAGTCGTAAAGCTTTCTGCAGTTCACTGTCTCTTAACCCATTGACGAAGGTATCTACAGCGATTTCTTCCAAAATGTTGTCTGGTACCTCCGGATAAGCCAACCGCACTATACGAGCAACATCTGCTTCAAACTCTTGCAAATTTTCACTTGCTCGTTGAACTCTACTTCTTAGTTGCGCCTTGTAGACTTGTTGTAGATGAGCATCTCCGTAACGTTTGTCTAGTCGAGTAAACAAGGTCTGGTAACATTTTTCTTGACCCTTAGGAATCGATCTTAGGATATCTGCAGCATCACCTCGTAAAGCAGCAGTCAACGAAACAGCCTTTTCTTGTTCTGTCCAATGATTGGCTGTTGCAATAGCTTCAAATTGTCTAAGGTATATGGACCAAGAGGACTTTCCATCAAATGGTGGCAATTTGAATCTCATATGGTGTGTCATTTCGTCTCTAGGTGATTCTTCTTTCACTGCCGGTTCTAAGGCTACTGTGTTAACTGGTGGTAGCATTTTTGTGTTAGTTATCATGCTCTCTAACTGTTTGATCTTCTCTTCTACGTCTTCTATCTTGTCGTTTACATTTTTCTGTATCTTATCAAATGTTTTAGAAACTTCGTCAAATTTTTCATTGTTCTTTTTAGAAGTTTCTTTCATCATTTGAGAAACATTTTCAAATTTCTCGTCGAATCTTTGAAATACATTTTCGAATTTCTCATCGAATCTTTTGGAAACGTTCTCTAATTTATCATCATTTTTTTTAGAAGTCACCTCAATCATTTGCGAGACGTTCTCAAATATCTCGTCGAATCTTCTAGACACATTTTCAAATTTCTCATTCATTTTTGTTAAAACTGTTTCTTCTGCTGATTGAAACTGGAATGTCTCTGGGTCATTTCCATTCTTATTAAGAACATTCTTTAGTCGTTCTTGGAGGATCTTCTTGGACCCGCCGCAATCTTCATCGCGTTCTTCTAGTTGCTCACGCAACTGTTTTACTGAAAGTTGTACTAGCAGCATCTTTGGTCGGGCACACACGTACTTTTTAAATGTTCTTTCGTACAACGATCACTACCGAACTACGCGGATGTTCCCGACGAACAATACTTTTCAAAAGTTCAAAAGTCTCTTTTTTTCACTGTTGGATTTATTTTTAAATAAATCAATTGTCCTCACACTGTGACACCAACTGTAGCGTGATTAAATAAAACGAGCGGTTCGAATTTATATAAATATATTTATTTATAACTTTACAGTTCGGTATTCTCTTATCAACTAAACTAACTCCTAAGATCGTTACATATATATACCAAAGTTACTATTTTCTAGAAAGTTCCCACCTCTAGGCGTATACGTGACCGATCGTTCTCTTGCCTTCGAGGGATCTATTCATCGATGATTCTCGATGCCGAGATGCTTCGAGATGCAACCGTTAGACGGGCCGCGCTGAATGCATTTTCGTAACAGTATCGAAGATCCCATGAACGCATTAAAGTTTCCAAAGCATAGGTTTGCAAAAAGTAGATGCAGACCAGAAACTGCTCGGCATGCAGATCATACGAAAAGTTGAACAGCATAGAGTCTAGAATATGTCTATGTATTTAACAAGACATGTTTTTATACCGCCATTGGCAGTATAAAAGACCGAGAATAAACCCACTCGATGCATTCTTTGTGTGTTGAACGAAGAATACCTAACCTATACGCTACTGAACTGAACGTGTTCTATTCTATCGGTTTGGTGAATTGAACGAAACTGATAATTCCTCCTATCGGTAACTACATGCGCTGAATGTAGCTACCGAACTTTCTATGAAATATACCGAATATACTGAAATGTATTCAAATATTTGAAACTCTTAAGGCTGTTTTATCAGTGCACCAAAACCTAGGGACAGTGATTTCTCTGTTATTTACCGACAAAATGTCTCGAAATTTGGACACGTTATTCGAAAGTATGTTGCTTTTAAAATGATGCTTTTACTTTTTTTATTTTTTTGAAACTTCTGTTGAAAAATTGGATTATACTGTTTAACGTTCTATTATAACCAAACTTTTTACGCCCATCACTTGAAAGAGTTTTTTTCTGTAATCGTTGATTTTTTTCACCTTTCTGTGTCCAGTAATAATCGAGAAAAGCGTGTTCCAACTTTGAAGAAAATTGCTAAAAAATACTAAAATCTAATAGTGAAACGTGTTACTCATCATTATCGCTTAGTTTCATCTTTATCGCCTTCGTGACGTCAAATCTCATGAACGTACGGTCAGTTAGTTCGTGTTAAAACTAATTTTAATGGAGAATAATGCATTTATTGTCATTAAACTACCCGTCGGCCGGCGCCACTGAGTAAAGATGGTCTGGCGTATGCAGTGTAGAAAAGTAAGTGATACGCCCATTTCAAATCGCAGTGTGCTTTGACTGCTAAAACAGCCTTAAACCCATAATTTTTTAAAACTTTATTAACTGTGGTATGCGAGAGCTCCAGCTCCTCGGCGACACTTCTAGTGGTTGTGGAGTTATCCACCTCAATGGTAGCATAAATATGTTCATCTCTACTTTTGATTTCCTGCTGTCTTTTCGGGGACATCTCTTTTCTTTTGTACAATCTTGTAAACAATAATGTGTTTCAAAACGATTTTGAAGGAAGAAATTTGAAAACGATTTTGAAAAAAGAATTATCAAGAATTGCCTTGATAATACCATTTAATTATTTCAACCTTTTCTGGAAAAGTGAAAATAAACATTTTAAAACAATACTCTTCGCTTCACGGTTCCAATTGAAAATAAATGCGTACAGCTAACAGATTCTAAGGGTGCCGATTATCGAGTTATCGAGCGCATTATTGTAGGCTATTGCTTAGCGTGATGGGATATTGGCATACTCTCAAGAAAACGCAGTTGCCAAACTTATCTCAATGTTATTAATTTTTATTTTTTGTTACTTTAGTGCTCTTTTTTCTTTTCCTTTTAATGAGATTGTTAAGTCCGGTTTAGTGACTATAGCCCATGCAAAAAAATGTAGTCAATTTTTTTTAATATTTCTGGTGCCTTAATTTATATTAATTTTTATTTACTTTTTTATTTCTTCTATAAATAATCAGAAGTATTGGTGACATATTATAAACAGAAGTATTGCTGATTTTTTAGGTTTAAGAAAATACCAAATTGTATATTTCAAATGGTGGGTATTGAAGTACTTCTTATGAATGATAACAATATTGAAGAAATTCCGATTGATAACTTAAAAATGTTAACACGGATTGCCACTTTGGACCTAAGTAACAACAGTATTAATTACGTTCCTCCTGAGCTAGGAAATATTAAACAATTAAGGTAATAATCTTAACTTATACTTTTATATGCTTATTTGATGTCGCAACAGTTTACTACTTGTTTAGTTTACTACAGTTTTTCTACTTGTGTCGTCGTCATCATTATTACCGACTGCTAACAGCTTATTAAGAGTCATAGTCTCCACTTAGGGTTTCTAGATATTTTTTTACGTGTTGTAGTACACACAGGCCATACACTTAATCCCTAGAACCTTTACATTTCATGTTTACCATACATTTGTTTGTGTCACTCAAGGTGAGGACGTAATTTCGATATATTTTCCAGTTCTCATTACTATCTTTGTCCATTTTTTTGTTCTTTCTTTGCCTTTCTCATTCTTTTATTCTTAACCCTTTGAGGTCTTGAATTATACTATCGAACCATATTCTTTTTGGTCATTTCCTCTGTATCTTCTCGTTTAATACTTTTTGTGCCCTTATACTATTATGAGCTGTATGCTTTTTATACGCTTTATCCAACTTAGTAGCTTATTTCATTGATATGGTAGATGATTTATTATACTCTTCCTTTTCCATCTGTAAGTTTTCTTAGTTTCATGTCATAGTTCATGTTCAGTAATTTAGACTTAGTTTCGTTCTTGCGGGAGTAGAAACATTTGTTTCCCAGTATATTTAATTCTTTCTGCTGCCTCAATATTCTTCTTTCATTCCGTAATTATTAACCCAAGCTATTTAAAGTAATTATCTCGTTCAAAAACTAAAACCTATCTCTTTTAAACCTTTTTTAGCGCCGCATATTTGAAAGAACTAACCATCTCTTCTAAATTTACAACTTGGCGATCTTTCTAAAATTATTTCTCCTGTATTTATTGCTGTCTTCCTAATAATTTGTTTCAAAGTAAGATTGAAGAGTGTTTTGGAGAGCTCATCTCCTTGCTTCCATCCATCTTTATTGCTAATTTTTTCAAAAAAAAATTGACTTTAAACTAATTTCGAAGTTATGTTCACATATTGTATCACCTTGTACAATTAGGTCCTAATTACGTAGTCATTTGTTTTAGGTAATGTATAGAAGTAAATTTTGTTTTTTTTTTGTTTGTTATTTATTTGAATATATTTTTATTTAAATTAAACTTGCGTAGTCTGGTGTTTAATAGAACTACCCATCACAATGTTTCTTTGAAAACTACAACAGAGGTGTTGTAAGTATCTGGTTATCTTACTACAAGTATGGTCTGTAGTGTACCTCCTTTTTCTGAATCTTCACTGATATTCAAATACTTTTCGTTTCCATACAGTTTCCATTGGTCTCGGTCATTCAGAAGGTACTCTTCTATTCCTCTCGCTTTTATTTCCTTGTCGATTCCTTCTCTCTAACTTAATCTCGGCCTGCCCTTCTTTCGCCTTCCCTGAGGTGTCCAGTTTCTGATGTCCTGTTATTCTATGTTTACCGTCCATGATTTCTTGAATTCTCCCGTTTCTTACTCTGTCTAAACTTGGTTTACCGGTCGCTCTCCTCCAATAATCAATTTCTGTTGCTTCCAAAGTCCTTACGGTTTTATCCTTCAGTGGCATATTTCTCTTCTGTATCTTAACAATACTTTTGACAATGCTATTATAGATTCTGTATTTATTTTCTCTCGAAATTGTTTTATCCGAGAGTATGCTGTTCAATTGCCGAATGACTTGTCTTTTCTGGTTATTTCAGTGTTTAATCACATCATCCAAATTTCTGTCATTGGTTGTTTGTATGCCTAGATATTTATATATTTTACAGTGGTTTATTTGTTTGTGTTGCTTTTCCAAAATCAGATTTTGTTGTTCACCTCTTAAACACATGTATTCTGGTTTTTTTTACATTTACTTCTAAGCCTCATTTCTAATATTCCTGAATAAAAATAGGTAAAAAGAAATAAAATCTTACTCACAATCAATTTAATTTTACCACCAAAACAACCGGTTTTGCTTACTACACTTTGCTAAGCATCTTCAGGTCTATGGGTACCAAGTAAATTAAATGATGATTAAATTGATTGTGAGTAAGTCTTATTTTATTTCTTTTTATCTATTTGAAATGGACTCACACAGGCAACACATTCATGATTCCTGAATAAGTTTGCGTGTCATATATTCTAGATCTTCGTAATTCTGAGCCAAGACTATTTGGTCGTCTACAAAGCATAGTGTGTACAATGTGGTGTCGTTTAGAGGGATTCCCATACCACTACATTTCCTGTTTCACGTCTTTAGCGCTTGCTCCAAGTAGATATTAAACAAATTCGGGGACATACGGTACCTGTTTGAGTGTTTGAGTCCTTTGTCTACCACAAACCCTTTGGATATCTCTTGGCCTATCTTTATTTTACTCGTGTTGTTTTTATAGAATTCTTGCACTGTCTTGATTAAAGTTACGTAGATGTTTCATCTTTCTTAAGTTCCCATAGTTTTTTTGTGGTAGACTTGTATGTTTTTCGAAGAACTACGTATAGAAGGTATATTGCTTGGTTTCGTGCCGTTATTCTATTTCTATAAGTTGGGTAATCGTAAAGAGATGTCAATAGTCGATCTACCTGCTCTGAAGACACCATGTTCTTCTCTTTTGTGGTTAACAACTTTTTATTAAAACAAAAAATTGGTTCGCACTTAATTCAATATTGTCTTGTATCGGTTTTTATTATTCTATAAATATATTATAATAAAATTCTTTTAGCTCTATTTATCCCATTGTAATACTGGCAAATTTATTTTTTTTAATTTAATTTCAGATCTTTAGAATTAAAAGGAAACCCATTTAGACAACCGAGATACGCAATATTAGAACAGGGAACAGAATCGATCCTATCCTATTTAAGAGATAAAATCCCAACGTAAAGCATAGATTTTAGAATTAATAATATCTTACGCAAAAATGAGTTCATTTACAATTGCGAGGTGACTTATTTTTTATGGTTATATATGGGTATTATAGCTTAATTTTCTATCGTTTGAAGTAAACCTAACTACGAAATGGATGGAATAAGAATGTGTTATTACATTTTTATATTCAAACTCATTTTTACGTAAGAATAATAATGGTTATTGAGATTTTAAAGATTATAGATGTAATTTTTAATCTACACGTGGATGTGCAAAGCTTGTGTACTTTTGTATAGGAGGAGGTGGAAAAGTAACGTATACCATAGTTTAGTTTAGCTTTCTTAGGTTACAACTAATATTTGTTAACCTATTGACTGACAGTAACGCGGCTCCTGCTGCCATCTGGAGATTAACAATATCTTATTTTGGGTGACAGTCAAAAGGTTAATGTAGCAACTTTTAGAATTTATTGCCAAATAGTCCGTTTATGGATCATACTGAGTATTATAAGAAGTTTACAGTGAATGAAATAATAAAATAATAATAGCAACAGCTATTATTATTTCGGGAGGGTTTTTTTTTTGATAAAACATGTTTAAACAATTATATACAAGTAAAGTGCAGACAGTTTAGGGAGTTTTCGAATCATTAATTTCATGATATCTGGTATATCATTGTTTTCATTTCTTGAATTGTGCTCCATTTAAAATGAAATTAAAAAAAAATGAATTATAGTGTATTTGTACTGTAATAAGAGTCAAACAAATATCAAGTATATCATATTATCCTTGTTGCCATATTTCGATTCTATCCATTGTTGCCATATTTCGATTATAACATTTACATTGCATTATACATTTTATTGGATCACATTAGACATGACGTCTGTGTTTCAGATGAATGTCTTCAATGTTAATTATCGTATATCATCACAGAAAACTGGATTATATTTTTATTTTTTCGAATTTAGTGACATAAAATTATAGTTTCCCAAGACAGTTTCCCCAGAAAACAGGATGCATACAAATTTTGTCGCCAATAAGTGCTTTACTGGATGGTACAAGAGGTATGAAAAATTAGAAAGTTGGCAACAAGGGTCATTAATAACTTAAAATTCACAAAAATAGCTTTGAGATATCAAGGGAGATGGAATCCCACAAAGTATTGATATATCAGAGAAAAACGAAAAAGCCCCTGGTCAGATGATATTTACGTTGAAGGTACTTGCAGAGGAGCGAATCATCTGTATTTATAGTGGATATTTTAAATACTATTTATAGATCGGGGACAATACTAAATAATTGGTTAAAGTCAACTTGTATTACTTTGTCGAAAAACAAAATGCAAATAAATGAAATCAAATTAAATAATTATTATTCAGAAATGGTTTTGGAACACAAGAAGCTTTATTCATTATACAAGTTTTACTTCAACGCTGTCGTGACGTTAATGTTGATGCCTATAACTGTTTCATTGATTATGAAAAATCTTTTGATACAGTACACCATATCAAACTTATCAAAATACTCAAAAAAATTGGTCTAAATGAAAGAAATACTCGAATAATTGCTAACTTGTATTGGAACAAAGATACTTCAGTTCTAATGGATGGAACTACATCAGAAGAGATTCGTTTCTTACGACAGGGTTAAATAACAGCCCATACTGTTCAATATATACTCCGAATTTATTTTTAGTGAAATCGTGGAAGACGTAGACAGGAATGTTTGTCAATACCATTAATAAGATAAGATATGCGGAGGGCACTGTTTTGTCGGTCACCAGTCTAAAAGATTGCAATAAAAAGCGCCAAATTTGTTCTAAAGTTTAATGTTAAAAAGACAAATGTATGATAGTGAGAAAGGATCACCTGTCCAATGGTATCACAGTAAGATCACAGTCTTCTTCTTCTTTTTATATAGACATGACTGTCTGTTTTTCAATGTGCCTCCAGTAAGTTGTCATTCCATCGTTTTCGTGGTCTTCCTACTGATCGTCGTCCTATTGGGGAACCGTCTCTTGCCGTCTTTACTACTCTTCTTCTTCTTCTTCTTCAGCCTGTTTGCATCCACTCCTGGACAAAGGCCTCCCCATGAGTTCTCCACTCTTCCCTGTTTTGTGCTATTTGGTGCCAGTTTCTCCCCATTTTTGCTTTGATGTCGTCTATCCATCGTTTTTGTGGTCTTCCTCTACTCCGACTGTGTTCGCGTGGTCTCCAATGTACAATGTTTTTCGTCCATCTGTCGTTGTTTTGCCGTGCCACGTGCCCTACCCAGTTCCATTTCATTTGTGCAATCCTTCCAATTACATCTTCCACCTTCGTCCTGCTTCGTATGTCCTCGTTTCGTATATGTTCTCTTAGTGATATTCCCAACATAGCTCGTTCGATGGCCCTCTGTGTTGTTCTTAATCTGTTGGCTGACAACTCTGTAAGTGTCATGGTCTCCATTCCATAAGTCATGACCGGTAGAATACAACTGTTGAATACCCTTTTCTTTAGATTTATTGGTATCTTTTTGTTCTTCAACACATCACTGAGTCTGCCTACTGCTGCCCAAGTCATTCGGATTCTTCTAGTTATCTCTGCTGTTTGATTCTGTTTGCCTAGTTTGATGGTGTGACCTAGGTATATATACTCTTCGACACTTTCGATCTCACTTCCATCTAAGTCGATTGTGATATTTTGATTTGTCATTACTTTTGTTTTATTTAAATTCATTTTTAAACCGATTTTTTCAGATTCTTGTTTAAGCTCCTTCAGCATGTAGATTAGTTCCTCTGTATTGTTGCTTATGAGTACTATGTCATCGGCAAATCTTAGATGGCTTAAAAACCTGCCATCAATTTTAATTCCGAGTTGTTCCCAATTTAACTTCTTGAACACATCTTCTAATGCAAGAGTAAATAATTTTGGAGATATGGTGTCTCCCTGTCGAACACCTCTTTCTGATCTTATTTTGTTTGTTGTTAGGCCTTCTGCTACATTTATTTGCATAGTTGCATTGTCGTATATGTATTTTAGGAGCATTCTATATCTGGAATCTATCCTTGCGTTATTCATTCCGTCTAATACCGCCCAGAATTCTATGGAATCGAATGCCTTATTGTAATCCACAAATGCCAAATGAAGAGGTTCATTGTATTCGTTACATTTTTCAATAAGTGTCCTTATTGTCTGTAGGTGTTCTATTGTACTATAACCTTTGCGGAAACCCGCTTGTTCAACAGGCTGGTAACTATCAAATTTGTTTGATAGTCTGTTGGTAATTATTTTGGTAAGCAGTTTGTATGGATGTGGTAACAGGCTTATTGGTCTGTAATTTTCGAGTTTGTGTTTGTCTCCTTTCTTGTGTAGTAAAAGTACCTGCGCGTTTTGCCAAGAGGTTGGAATAGCACCCCCGAATAGGCACTTGTTCAGTAAGATTTTAACTGCCTCCATAGTAGTATGACCTCCAGCTGTAATCATCTCTTTTGTTATTCCGTCGTCTCCAGGAGATTTTCCATTTTTCATTTGCTTTAAGGCATTTACAACTTCCTCGGTAGTAATTTCTGGTAGTGTTTCAGATCCTACATTTAGTATTCTTCGTTCCATATCATGGGTTTCAGGTTTTGCTACGCTGGACGAGTATAATTCTGTATAATAATCTTCGACAATGTTTATTATCTGATTTTTGTCGTTTCTAATGATTCCATTTTTATCCTTTATTTGGTGTATTTGTTGTCGGCCTTTGCTATTTAGCGTTTTTAACACTTTCATATTCTTGTTTTTCTCTATAATGTTTTCGATTTTTTCGGTGTTGTTGTCCCTGATGTCTTGTCTAATTCTTGTTCTTATTGCCTTATTAAGTTCCTTATATTCTGGTGAATTTCGATCCATGCGGCTTCTGTCCCTAATCATCTGTTGTGTTTCTGTCTTCAATTTATTATCTTTCGGTTTCGGCATCGTATGGGTTTTTTTGATCGCAGAGATTATACTCGTTCTTATCGTTTCTTCCAAATTATTTATGTCTTTTTCTTTTAGCTGTTCCATTGGCTCTAGACTAGACTCAAGATATTTCTGGTAGTTGGTACTGTTTTGCCCAAGCTCTTTAGTAGTTAGGGTTCGTTTTTGCAAGATTAGTTTGTTTCTTTCTAATTTGTTATCGATTATTATTTTTGCTCTTACTAATCTATGATCACTTCCCAGACTGAATCTGTTGAGCACCGCTACATCTTTTATTATCTGTTTCTGGTTGACTAATATGTAATCGATTTCGTTTTTGGTTTTCCCGTCTGGGCTTATCCAGGTCCACCGTCTATTATCTGGTTTACTAAAAAATGTATTCATACAAAATAGATTTTGTTCCTGTGTGTATGTTAGTAACCGTTCTCCTCTTTCATTTGTAGTTCCTAGCCCATATATTCCTCTATTTGGTATGTTGCCGGTGTTGCCTTTACTACTCTATTTGTTGCCTTTACTACTCTATTTGTTGTCATTCGGCTTATATGATCGTTCCATTCTACTCTTCTATTTCTTACCCAGTTTTTGATGTTCTCCACCTTGCATCTATGTCGTATATCTGTACTTCTAGCTCTGTCCCATAGTGTCTTACCATCAATTTTTCTAAGCGTTTTCATCTCTGCTGTTTCCAACATCCTTTTTGTCCTCTCTGTGTCAGGTCTTGTTTCTGCCGCGTATGTCATTATTGGTCTGATGACTGTTCTCCATATTGTTTCATTTAGGTAGCCTGCGGCTCTGTTTGCTCGGCTCGGTTTCGAGCTTTCCGTAGCTAGATAATGTGATGCCTAGATATTTAAACTCCATCACTTGTTCTATTATCTGACCTTCCAGGTCCAATTTACATCTTAGTAAATTTGCTGTTGTAACCATGCATTTTGTCTTTGTTGGGGAAATTAACATGTTAAATTTTCTGGCAGTTATATTAAATTGGTGCAGCATACGTTGTAAGATCACAGTAAATAACAATATTATCGAGAGATTTATAACTTATAAATACCTAGGTTATCTTTTAAAT